TTTCATGTACCTCATATTCAACAAGCTCTTCAGGAGTAGCAGTTGGCTCGGGTACCTTCAGCTCCTTATCGAGAACATATTCTTTGTTCTCATACCGAGTGACCATCCTGATGTTTCTGATCCAATCTGTAAAGTTAGACTCATCAAAGATGACTCTCCCACAAAGATTCATGAGAGAGAAGGAGCTAGAAGGGTTTGAGCCAGAAGCATTGTTATTGGAAGACATCTGAAAAGAAGAGGGAATAGATTAGATTAGATATAGAGATAGTCCTTAACAAAACACCCAAATGTAATATTAAGGCTAGGACCCAACACAATATTTTATAACTTAGAAGAGGGATGCCGTAATCTAAGCTATAAGATATTTGAAGGTAGGTGAATGACGATTCACCAATTTCCACCATGAAAAACGAAATATTTAATTAGGTTTTAATTGGTTTAGAAACTCCTAGATTCTTTGAGATTCATTGAACTTTCTTCAATGGCATGTTTCAATCTCGAGTGTGCCCTTCAAGTTTTGTGACTGGGATGCCGAGGATCACAAAACAAGGTGTGAAGTAACCATGCAAATTACTTGGTACCCTTAATGTATTACCCCTCAATCGATGTGCCGGTTAACCACACACGCTCCATCGATACTATGATAAACATTAAGTCACCCTTTACCTACCTTGTTAAGTTCAAGTTAGTGTGCCGGTTAACCACACACGCTCCACTAACGACTTAAATAAAGTGTAAAGTGTAATTTCATGGATTAGCACCTTATTCACATTTTCCTAAAATAACTAAGATTGGGAATTCAATAAAGTTTAGTTACTTTAGTATTATCATTATACTTTTAATGAGAATTTATAAGTCCTTGTCCTACTCGTTCGGCTAACGACCCTCTACCGATCAAGGAAGCGGTGGGTGAGAGTGGACACCCATTAAGTTGCCATTTTATAGGCAACAACCTTATACCCCCTTATAGACCGGCTTCGTGAATGAGGCGTACTAGCGGTAAGACGACTTGATCTTATACATATATAAATATTAAACTTATAATATTATAAAGTATAAGGGTTGAATTTTAACTTTTAAAATTCTAGGGGTTGGAACTAAAGTTTTTAATATGACTTTACATGTTCCAAAACTTGAGGGCAAGTTTTGTAAACTTTCAAAACTTTTCATTTCTCATAACTTATGAGTTAATGGTTATTAAAAATGAAGACTCTTCATTTTTTGTAACCTATGTGTTCTTTTAATGGTTATTTATAAATGTGACTTTTGGTTATCCATAACTTAAGAACTAGTTATGGACTCCATTAAAACACATAAATATCAAGAATTAATCTAATCAATTATTAGCACATAATTTCTATGATCTTCTAAACTCATATGTTTATGAATGTTCATATCAAAAATTTCAAGAATCGTAAGTACATATACAAAACTTGAAATTTTGATACGAGCTTTTGAACAAAACTTCGATTTTCAAGTTTTTTTTTTTTTTTTTTTTTTTTTTTTTTTTTTTTGCATCAAGTATCAAATAAACAAACCAGTCTCTGATACCACTGATGGGGTTTTGAGCATTCTAACACTCCTATGGTGTACATGCAACCCTAGAAACCTTGGATCTATGTTTGACTAAGATACATGCAAATAATTATTTTTTCAAGGTTCTTATCCTAACTAGCATGGCATGGGATACTTGAATCAAATAAAACTAGTAGAATTACTTACCTTGTAGTAGTAGTTGATTGCTTGGAGTTTGAGAGCCTAGCACCAATAATGTGGATGCCTCAAATGGAAATCACAAATCACCACAAACTTGGAACTTTGAGAGAATAGTAATCACCTTCTTGAAATCGGCCCTCTTACTTTACTCACCACAACTCGTGTGATTTCAAGAACCAAAGTCTCCTTTATATAGTGTGGTGGATTAGGGTTACATCCATGTAAACCCTAATACTCATGTCTTTTCATTTCCATGAGATCCATGGGTTAAAGCTCCATGGACTTTCCATGCAAGCCTAGCCCATTCCAAATAAGCATTAGCTCACACTATATAAATACAAGAGCCCATATTTAATTAGTCATACTTTTGATCTCTAAATTAATTCTAGATTAATTATAGATCAATACTAATTAAATAATATGATTTTATATTAATATATTAGGACTTATAATATATTAATAAATCATAATTTATACTATTCTCAAACGATTATCCATAAATTGTTCGGGTGAAGTGCAACCCAAATGGACCATGACGGGTCGGGTCAAGTACATACCAAATATAGTTATGGACTTAGACACTATATCCAACACTACCCTTTATATAGGGGTGGGTGTGTGGCCATGAGGGGTGTGTACGGCCGTACACCCATGTGTGCGGCCGCACACTCCTCCAAAAGGGGTGTATGGCCTGATTTCGTTACTATACAACTTGCTGACTCATTCATAATCTCGACCTTGGTTGTACTCAAGCTTAAAACGCTTAAATGAACCCTTAATCAGTGCTAGGAGTTAACAGAAACGAGTTTAACATAAATTAACTGACTAGATATACCCGGTAGAAGTTTCGGGTTGTCACAGCTCTCAACCACTTGGAGATGAACATATTTCCTACACACCTTGTTGATACTGTTATTTAAACATCAAATGCAACTTATTATCAAAAACCCAAAATAACTTTCTTACCATATACAAACAAAATTAATGGAAAACAAAACACATTGCATTTTGTATTAATGTGGGTCATCAAATCAAACAAAACAAACATGACATTTCCCATTACTAGCACCAACAAACTCCTTAAAAGAATATCAACCAAGATGATAATCGAATTACCCACCATTTCGCACAAATCGCTTGCTTAATGTACAACAAAACATCTCATTTATCCGACTTCAATAATAAATACTTTTTTACACCAAACCAAATCCTTATATAAACAAAAAGAATCAATCAAGACCATGCCCACAATCACTTAGTCAAAGTATCGGGTAGTGTAGTTGAATGAGCTCCACTGATTTTCCCTCCAAGATCCAAGGAACTTTCACACCCGGGCAACGAACCCACATTCCCATAACATTAACTTTCACATGATATATCATAATATGCCCTTTCATATCCAAAAACTCATCACTTACATATCTTCTCCAATTATCTTCAACCGCTTCATTAAACCCTTTTTACACTCTCTAAACTCCCCGACTCCTCATAACACCCCTCAGGTAACCCAAGTTGTTTCCCCCACGATGGCATTCTATACTCGTAAACCTAAAACATCCAACAAAACTTATTCCAATTAAACCATTCTACTTTCGTTTTTTTTTTTGAAAATAAAAGTATGTTGCTATTTTTTTGTACCTGCCTGTATGGATGATGTTTTTTTGTTGCCCAAGTGTGGCGGGGTTGATATGAACCCATGACGATTTATGTGTCTTTTGAACCGGCTAAAGATCTTTGATTGATGTTTTTGAGCCTCGTTATTACATATTCGTCATGCACTATCATTCCTTTTACGTGCACGTAAATCATTAACTAAAAAAACAAAAAGCCATAAACTCATGGTCTTAAAACCGAAAACCCGTAAACCCAAACCAACACCTATGCAGAAACCGAACCCAAATGGGTTTAAAAAATGAAAACTCGAGTTTCTATGGTTTAGATTTGATTTTAGGCAAAAGTTGGCTCATGCTTATCCTTAATTATCACCATCTTGAGGTACATAGTGTGTCTGAATACCGTTAGCCTAATCAATACATATAGATATGAATATGTGATTTACACAAACATCAATATCTTAATAGTAATAACTTAACATAACCCGTAATTCAATACATCAAACGATAGCAAATACTTTGGCTAATTCATTTCAATTCTTAAAACATATTGTTTTTCTAAACTGTGTACGATGAAATGAAATTGAGGGGTCTGTTTATAAAAAAATACATATGATATGATTCAGGATAAGCAGATTGAATTATGTGTCGTTGAATTGTGTGTCAGATAAAGTTTATGAATTATGTGTTGTTGAATTGTGTGTCGAATAAGATTTTTGAATTATATGTCGTTGAATTATGTGTCGGATAAAATTCTGAATTATATCGTTGAATTGTATGTCCAATAAAATTTATATACATATCATTACTATGTATTCAAATATTATATTTATAGTCCTCTTGTTATAGTTTATTTTTTTATTTCTTTTCATTTTCTTTTTGAATCATTATTTATATATTGTTTTGGAATAAACAAGATTATTGTTGACTTTTTTCATCTTGTCAAAGTAGTCAACGAACAAGGAACAAAGTAAAACAATTAAAAGGTGTGTTGATTTCATTTTGAACCTAAAAGAAACTTTTAGTCAAAAGAACTTATTGATTTGTAGTATGAAAAAATGAATTTTTTAAAAAATGTTTGGATTAGCTTTTATGATGGAAAAAATCAATAATTTTTTTTTTAAATATATGTCTTGACGTATATATGTTTTAAAAGTTATTTGTCTTAGCTTATATATGTTTTAAGATTTATGTGTTATTACTCAAAAAGTTACAAGTTATTTTGAAAAGTTAGAAATTATAACTTATTGAAATCGTTTTTAAATTTAAAAAAAAAATTATTTTAAAAGTGTTTTTCATAACTTCAAACATTTTTTTTATGATTTATTGAATTTTTTTAAAAAAATCAATTAATATTTTTAGATAAATCTCAAACGCCCCCATACAACCAACATATTATGATTTTTTTTCGTTTGCATAAAATGTTGGTTTTTATGGGATTTTCTGAAGTAATTTGCCCATAACAGCCAGCCTTCTAAACATGCGTCACTACTTGGCATTTCTTTCCCTCCGAATTGATTTTCAATTTCTTCGTTTCACATCCATTTGTTGCACAGCAGGCTCGATCAAATTTGGGTTTTTAGTTTTGCAACCCAAAAGTTCGGATAATTTACAAAACAATTAGAATCGTCTTTTACTTTGATTGTTTCAAAAAAGAAATTCTACGATTTAATGGCGAGGACGATACAGAAGTTAAGAAAGGTGCCAAACTCTTATTCATGGAATAATTCCACTTATGGATTGTTCGGCAATGGAGTTCTTAGAGTCTTAACAAGATCAACTTTTGCAGCCATCAGATACTTCGTATCATGCACGTCAAAAGAAGATTCATACGAGTTGAACAGAATGTTAACACAATGTGAAGGTAGTATAAGATCCATTAAGAAAATGCATGCTAAGATCATCATTGGAGGTTATGAGCAAAATGTTTTTGTTGGGTCTAAGCTTATTGCCATCTATTCTGGATTGGGTCAATTGTACATGAAAGATGCAAGGAAAGTGTTCGATCATTTGTCTGAAAGAGATGTTTTCTTGTGGAACATGATGATTCAAACATACGCAAATTCAGATATGTCTCCTGAAGCATTGGATGTGTATAAAAAGATGCGTGAACAAGGTATGCTTCTCGATAAGTATACATTTACGTTCGTTCTAAAGGCGTCCGGCATCACAAAAGATGAGAAAACAGGCTGCGTCATCCATGGACACGTAATAAAATGTGGATTTTACTTTAATTTGTTCGTTGGGAATGCTCTGGTTGCGTTTTATGCGAAATGTGAAATGATCGAACCATGTATGAAGGTGTTCGATGAAATGCCACAAAGGGATCTCGTTACTTGGAATACTGCCATTTCCAGTTGTGCTAACAATGATCGAATTGCAAAAGCTCTTGATCTTTTTCGTACATTACTACATGAACAGTCTCTTAGCTTACCAGATCATGCCACTCTCGTTAGCATCCTTCCCGCTTGTGCTCAAGCAGCAGAAATCCAATTAGGGTTTTGGATCCATTGTTACACCATTAAGACAGGTTTAAACAACGATGCTATGGTGGGAAGTGGTATGATCGCTATGTATGCAAATAGTGGCCATTTAGACTATGCACGCCAAGTGTTTGATGAAATGCCTGAAAGAAACATCATGGTATGGAACGCCATGATGAGGGGTTACGGAATGCATGGAAACGCGGAAGAAACACTCAATCTTTTCTCAAACTTCTTGAAAGACGGTTTTACCCCCGACGGGATTGTGTTTCTGTGCTTGTTATCAACATGTAGCCACGCGGGATTAATCGCAAAAGGGCGTGAAATTTTCAAACAAATGGAAGATTACAATGTGGAAAGAGGTCAAGAACATTATGCGTGTATGGTTGATTTGTTTGGGAGAGCAGGATTGGTTATGGAGGCGGTTGAGTTGATTAAATCCATGCCAATAGGGCCCGGGAAAAGTGTGTATGGTGCTCTTCTTGGTGCTTGTAGGATGCATAATTATATTGAACTTGGTGAAGTTGTGGCGGAGAAGTTGTTTTTGTTGGATCCGATGAGTGGCGGCCGGTATGTGACGCTGGCGAAGTTGTATGGCGGTGTTGGGCGGTTGAAGGAGGCTGCCGCTGTGAGGAAGATGATGGTGAAGAGTAATATCAAGAAACCGTTTGGGTATAGTTCGGTGAAGGTGGATAGTGTTGTTCATACGTTTGGGGCGGAAGATGAGAATCATGTAAGAAGAATTGAGATTTTTGATACACTTGCGTGTTTGGATAAAGTAATGGCGGAAGAAAATTAAAGCTTCAGAGCATCTCATTGACTTATACTGCATTTGGTGTTTATTAGGATGAGACTGATGTCAATATGATAAACAAATATAGTTTTTTTATCCTAGAAAGACGTGCCTTGATATACTTAGCAAGATTTTTAGGGATCTAACGGGTCAAGGACTACAAAATACTTCAAAATGTAGTTGACACTGGTTCGAATCCTTCGGGCTTTTATAGGAATGATTATGAAAGTATTCTCCTTACACCTTAAGGTCCTTCAACATTTTTCTTGTGCATTTTATACTTATTATGGGCTGTAGAAGGTTTATCTGGTTTTGATACTTATGTGATGTATCATTATCCATGTGGCGTCTACATGTCATCGACTCAAAAAATATATATACGCTTGGTCCTTGAACAAAAAAATGTATTGTTTATACGCTTGTCTTTGATGAAAAGTTTATACAATTATACCATTTTGTTTGAACTCATTTTATGATTTTGATTATGTACTATTGATGTTCACTATTGATGTAAACTTGTTCCTTTTATTAAGTATTAGCGGGTGTTTGGGATTTTCTTATTATTTATCCGATAGCTTATAAGCTATCAGCTAACCTTTCATTTCAGATAACATATAACTTTTTAGCTAATTTGACAAACATAGCCTCAGTATATAAGTTGTTTTAAAATATCATGAAAATATGACTTGAAAATATGACTTGAAAAATGACTTTTTGAAGGTGGTGAAAAACTAATTTCAAAAATGCTTCCTTTCCACATTTTTTAAGCTCATTGACAATTTAAAAAACTAATAAGTCAATAATCACTTTCTAAACTCGATCCCAAAAATCCCAACTCATTCGGTTTATGAAGTATTTTTAAATCCCATTGATTCTTGATCACCAAAGGTCAAAATTATAAAATACAAACAAATTTTAAATTTCGATGAAAACAAACACTTTGCATTTTGTATAATGCCAATCATCAAATCAAATCAAACATCACTAGCAAATGCGACTAAAAACACTTCCGATTACCCAAATCGCTTTCTTAATGTACAACAAAACATCTCATCTATCCAACTTCAACAACCAAACAAAACCATATGTCAATACACACCTTTTCCCTTTACACCAATACCAAATCCTTATATAAACAAAAAGAATCAATCATACCCGCGGGCCCACAATCACGTAGTCAAAATATCGGGAAGTGTAGTCGAATGAGCTCCAATAATTTTCCCTCCAAGATCCGGGAAACTTTCACACTCAGGCAACGACCCCACATTCCCATCCACATCAACCTTCAAAGGATACATCATTAGATGCCCTTGCAATTCCGAAAACTCATCACTCACATACCTTCTCCAATTATCTTCCGCCACCTCATTCACCCTTTTCACACTCTCCAAACTCCCCGGCTCCTCATAACACCCCTCAAGCACCCCAAGTTGCTCCGCCCACAACGACATTCTATACCCGTAAACCTAAAACACACAATAAAAGTTAGTTTGTTTGATAGTTGTTGACTGAGTCAGATCTAACTGAGTCAAGGTCTGACCGAGTCAGACACAGACACAACCCTAAATCTGACTGAGTAAGAGGCATATCAAACGGCCCCTTACTCCAATTATGTCGTTCTACTTTCAATTTTTTTTTTTTAAAATGAAAAATGAAAGTATGTTGCTATTTTTTGTATACCTGTCCATGTGGATGACGTTTTTTGGCTGCCCAAGTGTGGTGGGGTTGATACGAACCCATGGCGATTTCTGTGTCTTTTGATCCGGCTAAGGATCTTTGGTTGATGTTTGCGGACCCCATTATGACATATTCATCATCCACTATCATTCCTTTTGCGTGCACGTATATCATGAAGCGCTTGAATTTTTGTGAATCTGAGATCTGTAAGATATGATTCAAAAACAAATCTTGTAAGACTGGAATGGAATGTGTGATTACATTCCATGGTTAGGTTTGTTACTTACCTTCTCGTCTGGGGAAGATTGAGGCATTCCTGGAGGTAATTCTTCACGTTTTCCAAGGCAATAGAAATTTAGATAGTCTTGAGGGTGTGCATCAAGTTGCATAGCTTTGATTTCACGTGCTACGATAGTGTACATTGTTTGCATTGACTGACTCTGTAATATTTAATGACGAGGATGAGGAGGGTATTTACGTCTTTTGTACAGACACGAGAAGAAGGGTAAAAAGGTAATATTACCTGCCAATAGAGAATCTCTTGGACAGTAGCAGATGATGGAACACCTTCAGGCCACATTGGTATGACAACATAAACTGCAAACCTCTCTCCTGCTCTGATCTTGCTTGCAATTTTTAAGGCCAATTCCATTGGAATCAGATTATCAGCTCCTTTTGATATGTAAAGTACAATAAAACAGTTTATTAATATAAGACCTATAAGAATCGGAATTTATCTTATTCTTATCAGAAACCATATAAAACGAATATATTATGATAAAGTATTTGTGTCTATACTATATACTATACCTGCATCTTTGTATGAAGGCCATGCGTATGATGATCCAATGAAATACTGGTTTTCAATATAAATGAAATGCTGAGCTGAGCGAATGGCTTGGATATATGCTGTCTGAATACTTTTGTCAATCACCAGACTTTTTGCACTAATAAGATTCTGCACCAATGAAATGGATGAACATTTATAGCAGTGTATGTATCTAGATTCCTTTGCTACAGTACAATGTTGTGATAGGAAGAAATGGATGTATGTATGATGCTATAATAAACAAATCAATGGAAATAAGTTTGCTATTTCTTGCATTTTCCTACAAATATGGGTTGAACATGAAAGGTGTTTAGCAAGAACAAGAAGATGAACAGATTTCAATTACTAACCTGTGCCTCACAAACATCAACAGTTTTGGGAAATCCTTTCAAAGATCCAGAATCGATAGACCGAAAAATCTGTGAGAGGTAAAACTCATGAGAATTACTTATTAATTTAGATGAGGAGGGCATTCACGTCTTTTGTACAAATAAGAAATCGAGATCAAGTCCCTGTCCTATCTTTTTGGGACTAAAGATATCATTTTTTTTTTGTCTCATTGACATGAGTCTCGCAAACAAATTACAACCACTTATGCCCTTTTGTGTCTAACAAAAGGGGCTTAAAAAGTCACATAAGAAAAGAAGTTGGTGGAAAAAAAAAAAAAAAGAGAGAAGACTTTTTCTAACCTGCACATGCCAGTTATCTGGATGATCTTCCTTGTAAACATGCAACAATGGTTCATCTTCAGGAACAATGGTGTGATCTCCATGTTTTGGAACAGGATATTTAGGACTAATAATCCATGAAATCCGCTCGATCTTTATCAATGCATCATCTTGCCACTGGGCCATTTTCTTGGCAATAAATGCAAATTCTCTCCACTTAGTAGCCTTTTTCCATCTCTGCTCAAAGTTCAAAAGCACATCATATGCAGCAGGACCATCAATCTTGCAGTGTAAATCATGCCATGGTTGCCTTGGAGCTTTGGTTCCTGCCTAATATAAGATATCACACCATTAGAAAAAAAATTGGGGCACATTTTGGAATAATAATATCAGAAAATGGGAAACAAATTGAAGAACACCACTCACTGGATATGTTGGCTGATGAAAATCATCCTTGAAAACAGTGTCTAGATCATGAAATAACCTATGCTGAGGTGTATCATAACGTCCATCACAGAGATCAAGACCACCTATAAATGCAGTAATTTTTCTATTGTTACCAGATGCTTGTGTATCTACAAGTACACATTTCTGATGATGTGTAAATGCAGTTCCAACAACCTGAAATGTAAATGGTATAAGAAAGATTCATTGCAACAAAGTGAGTAATCTGAATGAAAACCAGAGGAGGGAATCAGAGAAGAGAAGTGCTTGCCTGTTGCTTAAAAAAACTAAGTTTGCTGCTTCCATAACGAGGTGATAACACACACATGACAGATGAATGCTTGAAGAACTTCCTGGTTTCTTCATCATGAGTCCCCATCACTCCAGTCTGTGGAAAAGATTTATAAATGAAATCAAAACAAAATAATCTAAGCAATCAGCTGAGTAAAAGATTTGAAGTTCTCACCGTTTTTATGAAGAGCTTATTGTGGGAAGTTTTATCATCCCAAACCAACAACAGTACACGAACCCCTTCTTCAGATTTATACTTCAGCAAGTCACCGAGTGTCAAATCGCCTCCTCTTGGTAGTGGCTTGGTGGGCTCTCTGATCAGTTTAATTTTATGGAAAACAGACCAACCGACAATGTATATCATGTGGTGAGCCTCTGATACAGCATAACAGATGTCTTCCCAACAGGAATTGTGCTGATAAACCTTACCCCCGTCTAATTGAATCTGAGGCATCTTACAATCCGGTGTAATGTGAGCATCCTGGTATAATGTCACCTGAGAACCTTTCCTTACCGGAAAATAAGTGTTTCTGACGCCTTTATGTGCCGGATCTCCGGCAATTCCATGTTGGTAAAGCGGATTTTTCTCACACGGAAAAAATGTCATTTCCAGTTTGAGTTCCGAGTTTTTCTTACTTGAATTCTCCATCTTGAACCAACCGGAAATAGTCTCGCCGGTGGCGATCTTCTCCGCCGAAATCTTAACACTCCCCAACACATCAGCACCAAACACGTCATCGTCTTTCACATGAAACTCCAAGTGTGCAAGGGCGTGGGCTAACGGAATAATAAATCGTTCGTCCCATTTAGGGTTTTTCGAGTTCTTCAACACACGCGTACGCGCCACCGTTGCTTGAGGCACCGAAACCTTGACATAAGGATCACTAGTAATTATCTTCCGGTGACCAGAACGCAACTTCGTGTCAGTGGTTGCGGCGGAGGAATTGTCGTTCCGGCAGGCCTCAAAGGTAACGCAACGGCGGATGTGGCTGGTGAAGACATCCATGTTAGGTAAGTTTCGTGCTTCTATAATGTTGAGTTGCAGGTCACCGTGTAAGTAAACAATCCTGTCCGAAGCATCATCCGCCATTTTTCCA